TCAAATTAAGAATTTAAGAACAGTTTATATATTTATCTATATTTTTTTTAAAATAAATAAAAATAAAAATAAACTTTTTGTAATAAGATGATTAATTAAAAAAATAAATAATGATAAAATTAAAATAGCAAAAATACTCTACCTATCTCAAAATAATTGTTGTTGTTTTTTTTTTTTAATTTTGCATTTATCGCAAATTAACTGTTATTTTGTTATTTTTTAAAATAGATAAATATTTTATCCATATTTTAATTCTATCATTATTTATTTTTTTTAATAAATAATCCTATTATTAAAAGTCTTAATTATCTTTTAACTTTTTTTAAAAAAATAATATATAAATATATAAATAATTTTTAAAATTTTAATTTAAAAAATTAAAAAAGATAGTTGTTACGAAGCAGAGAGAGTATTTGCTTACCTTAAAAAAAAAGAAAAAAGAAAAAAAAAAGAGGATAATTATTAGGAGGCCGACAGTCTTCTAGGCTCACTGAGGCAGAACGGTAAATGGCAGTCCCACCTCGTTATGGTTAAACTAAAAATGATCCCTTATTTTAGCAGTTTAAACTTTTTTAGTCCCTCAATCTTTTTGAACTATTTTTTGGTTTTCAAACTTAAATTAAAAATTAGTTTTTGGCATGATAGGGTTTTAGATTATTTTAAATTTCAATAATTAGGATGTTAGGATTTACATCTTTTAAAGTTTGCTAGCATTTAAGGTGTTAGACTTCAAATTTTTTAAAGTTTAATTAGAATTTAAGATGCATATTGGGGTTTAGAATTTTGGTAGGGTTTATATTTTTAAGGTTAGGGTCTATATTATTAGTTTTTAGTGTTTAATATTTAAATTTAAGATTTAATAACTTAAAAATTAAAATTACAAGACTTAAAAATAAAAATTAATATTCATTATATCTAAAAAGAAAAAACAAAATAGCTACAAGGACCAATTGGCTTGGGGACCGATTGGTCTGGTAGCATTACCCATTAAAAAAAATAACAATTTTATTAAGGACTTCAAAGTAAAAAAATACAATTAATTTGAGACAAAAGAAATATTAATCCTTCACTAAAATTATTTATTTATCTTTATTTTTTCTTAAGTAACTACCCTTTTCTGTCTCAAAATAATTGTTATTTTTTAACCATTTCCCTAAATTAAGGATTTTGGCATAATAATTGTATTTATCTATAAAACTCCTAAGAAAAATGAAAGATAAAAAGAGACTTTTTGTGATTGAATAATTAATTAAAATGAATAAATAATAAATTTAAAGTAAAAAAAAGAAATTTATATTTCTTGAAAATTAAAAAATTATTATTTATTTTCGGCCAATTTAAGTTGAAAACGGTTGTTTTTTTTAAACGGGGTTGGTTTTTATTTTAATTAAAATTTTAATTTTTGCCCATTAATTTTTTGTTTTTTTTTTCCTTAACCAAAGGATTTTCTTTCTTTTTTTATTTTTAATATATTTAATTTGATTTTTTGATTTTTTAGACATAGATTTTAAATAAAAATTTAATAACTTATATGAATAACAATTGAACATTTTTTTCTGTGCTATATAAAGTTCTTGTTAAATACTTTAATTTGATAAAAAAAATTTCAATTATCATTTTATATAATATGTTAAATTTATATTTAAAATTTATGTTTAAAAAGTCAAAAAATTAAAATAAAACTACCAAAGATAAATAAAAGGAGTACTATTATAATTTTTTTCCTCCAAATTCTATTCTATTTAAATCCACCATAAAATTTATGGCCAAAAAAAAAAAAAAACACATTCCACCACAAAATTGTGTTTAACAATTCAATACGATAACGATTCATTGACAGTGTGTTATTTTCCTATGAAACTAGTATTTACATGTTATTGTCACGTGATGGTAGTTTTTATTTCTTTTTGCATTTAATGAGACTA